CTGAACTGTTCTATGATTCTATGATTCTATGCCCAGGTAGTCCTCACCTTGTAAACATCATGGTTTCCAAGAACAGCATCAAACAGTGTGTAAAGGTCGTTCAGAAGGTCAACCACCTCAATGGGTTCACTGAGGGCTGAAATGGTTGTGAAGCCCACGATGTCACTGAAGTAGATGGTCACCTGGTCAAAATACTCGGGCTCCACGGTGCCTCCAGTCTTGAGGGCTTCTGCCACTGATCTGAAACAACACCACACGCAGGGCACAAACCCTTTTGCATGTGCCGAAGAGTACACAGGACTCCTGTCATACTGTGTTCAGGAGACCTTCCACTAAATCAAAGGTTTTATGTGGTTGTAACAAGCATTGATTAAAGTTTCTTACTTTGATCAGAAGGTGCTGATCAAAATTGGAGGTCAACTCTGCAGTCTTGCTCACTTCCGGGCAACTTTTCTGCTCAGTCTAGCTATGGGTTGTGTGGTTGGTTTTTTTAGTATCTAAAGTACCAATACTTACGGGGGAAGCATTTGTGACAGTAGTTTTTCTGTCTTCTGTTTTTCAATCTCTAGCTCTTCAGTCCTCTCCCTGATTAAATCTTCCAGGTTGCTCGAATACTGCTCAAGCATCCTGAGCATTGAGTCAATGATATTGGTCTTTTTCCCTTTGTTGATGGTTTTGAACTGGAAAATGAAACTGAAGAGTTATTTCTCCATCTCATTACACTCTAAGTTTGGACAGGAACAAAAACTAAACGTTTATTTTAAAAGGACAATGCTAAAGACTGATTTCATTGGTGGCAAGAGTTAAATGGGCAAATTAGAGGGTGAATTTGTATCAATAACTATGGAAGCTGCCCAGAAGCGTGTTGCTCCTCTATGGACTGCCAGCGAGGCTTATGCGAAATACAACCTTCCATGAGGTGACAACACATATATGAGTTGTTGTGGAGTACTATCATGCTGCAAATTTGCGCCCTTATTTATCCCATGACTAACCTTTAAGGTAACTCATAGCCCTTTGTGGTCAGAGGGGCAAATTTCATAACATCAGCAACACTTACAACCTCCTTATGTACAAGTGGTGTTAAATCCACTTTTGCACAATATGTGCGCTGCCACCTTCCGTCCCCAGATCCTCACTGCGTTGTGCTTTCTCCTGGTCATGTAAAGTTGGAGCCTCTGGACCATGACCTGTGGCTTCAGAAGCCGCCTTAGACTCAACAGTGGAGTCACATTGATGCAATTATTCACAGCTTAGTAAAACCAAAAGGCAAAAATTATGGATGTTGGCCTTTGGTGAATTTTGCTTTTAAATTAATAAACTTTTAAATACTTCAGGACATTCAAAAGCACATTGATCTGAAGGTGATATCACAGTTTACACATCTTTGATCTCCACGAGACCATCTGCGCAGGTGCGCTGTCAATGTGGGCACCTGGACCATGTCCAGCCTGCTTCAAACCCTATGTGATGGTGCCATGGCAGCCCAAGTTCAGGACAAGGTGTAAGCCAGATGCCACGAACCATAAAATAACCCAATAGCAAAGGCAAGATCAGAGCTCTGGGACTTCTTTAATCATTATTTAAGAACTCACCTAAAGGAAAAAATACCCTACACTTCCTGTAAAGTACCAACAAAGGTCCTCTATTCACTGACCTTATGAAATACCTCCTCAAAGGTCGGACGTCGCTCAGGGGCTTCTCCCCAACATTGCTTCATCACCTGGATGCACTCCAGGGGTGCCAACTCAGGGGCTATGTTTGGGCGGCACAGGGGAGGGGGCTTCTTCACTTTCTTTATAATTTCTGTGACAAAGATAAGGACGGCAATCACGCTGTGAGATGGAGGGTCTTGATGGGGCAATGGACATGGACCTTTTCTCCTGTCCCTTGCTGGCTCCTTCAGCCATCATGTTATACCTCACCACCCATCCTCTGCATCAAATGAAGCTGGGGGTTTCTGCTTTCCTCTACCAGGAGTATCTTGGAGGATATAAAAAGACAAGAGATTCATCTGCCTTCTTGTCCATGGAGAACCAGGTTATGAGGAATAAAGTGGCTGGAGAGAGGAAGGTTTTGTGACAAAGATGTCTTTGTGAGCCTGCAGGCTTGTATTTAATGAAATTACCTCAGACTCTCTCCATTAAGATCTGTGGTTCTCTAAGAGAGCAGAGGGTTATGGCCAAGCCCAAAAAGGAAGGATACCAGCCTCTGATGATTCATCGTTAACTGGGAACCAGTACGTAGGAGGTGGATGGGAATGGAGACAATGGAAAGGTTTTTAAGGGGGAAAGTTTGGCTTCAAAACAACGTTTAGGAAGTGACTCCCTATCCAGAGGTGAAATAAGACTAATAAGGAACTGGACTTGGGCTTTCAGAACCTGAGAAGTCAGTCCTTGAAGGAGCAGAGCTGCAGGTTTCATTGACAGCTGAAGCACGGCCAGGAGAGCGTGATGTCTGAACCCAACCCTGACTTCAGTTTAGCTGTTCCTAAGTAAGAATATCCTGGAGGAAATGTGAGTTTTGTAAGGTAGAACTATATATTTCTGGTTTTTAAAAAAAAATTAAATAAATAAACCCCCCAAACCCATGAAAAACAACCAACCCAAAGTGATTGTATTTGAAGGTTTCATTTTGTGTAGAGCAGAACAGTCAAATAGAGTGAAAACCACCCTCTTCCTGGCAGGAACCCTACACTTCCACAGCTGTTTTGGTGAGTACCCAAAGCTTTTCTGTGTTGACAATGTTAAAGCTGTTTGGCTCATCCCACCCGTCTCCACCAAAGGAACTAAACAAAGCACCTGGCACAAATATTTCGAGGGGCAGCCAAGGGGAAATGCCTTCCTCAGATGGTTTTAAAGCTCATACTGTGAGTGAAAGCTCCTTGGGGATTAGGACACGACAAGGAGCAATTCATCATTTTGTCAGTTCAGGAAACAGGAGTGTGTTACATGGAGGTTTCCCACAGGGACTAGGTGGGGGGACACCCGCTTATTACATCATAAAATCCATCATACGTCCAGCTCTGGATGACAGAGCAAGTTACATCATAATCATCATTATTATTTAATTGTTGCAGCAGCTTGGGGTGCAGAGAGGTCAGGGACTCACTTGTCCAGGTGCAGAACAGGCAGATACCGAATGACTATACTCCACTTGGTGACGGCCCAGAATGGGATTTCACTGAAATTTGTTCTTTTTTGATGGTTCTTGCCCCCTCCCTGTTCAAGGGCTTGTCACCTGATCCTGACTGCGGTGTGTTTGCTCTACCTGTACCTGGACAACACAACTTGAACTAACAAAAGCTGCACCATGAGCAGTTCCTAAGGAGTTTGCCCACTTTCTATTTCTGGTACAAGCCACATTTCATAGGTCAGCAGGGTCGTGATGTACCACTTTGATCTCTGTTGAAGAGAGAACCTCTTTAAATGGGGACATAGTTAAAGGAAAATAGATGGGCAGATGAACAAACCAGGATGGTAGCAAGGGGTCCAGTTCAAAAAACCTCAACTCCTATGATACAGGGAAAAAAAGGCAAGGGTAAAAAAAAAAACCACGCAGTTCCTAAGCTATGGGAAATTCTGCCATCAGATTTCACCCTACATCGTGATGCAAAGTCAAAGTTTTAACAGGGAACTGGAGGTACTGGAGAGGTCTGACTGCTGGCCAGCTCTGAAGCTTCTTGGGGGGTACATGGAACCCCAACCCCATTGACAGCAGAGATGAGTCACATATCATGGCTGACATCAGAACCTCACATCTTGTTCCTAATTGTGGATGTTTTCTTGAAAACGACCTTTTATCACTGAGAATGGTCGTGAGATTGGGACATTATTTCCGTACTGATATTTTACCCCTGGGGCTTGGCTAGAGGTTTTTTGAGCGCTGTGTGTAAAGCCTTAAAAATGTACTGAAATATTTGCCTACCCTCAGCTGAGAGTTCCGACATGCAGTACGGTGGGCCCCGAACAACCACTTCTTGCAGGATGATGGCAAAGCTGTAAATGTCCCCTTTAAATGTGCCTTTTCTGCACATGTCTGCGTCCCTCAGCAACTCAGGGGCTGTCCAGAGCAATTCTAAATAAAAAAAAATAAAATAAATCAAGAGCATCATATTTCTTATGCTTGAGCTCAGATTATTGCAAATAAAGTGCTTAAAGGAACATTTGAGGAAAGATTGCAATGTACTTTACTACTGGATCAAGTCTTTTATTTCTTGTTATGTGTTAGAAATATTAAACTTCCATCCTGAGCAAAAAAAAATTTCCAAATTTCACTCTACCTTTAAAAAAAAAATAAATTACTATGCTAGCAATTAACATGTTAAAACATCAGCCTTGAACATCTACATAAGAACTCTCCTCACCATTGCCAAAAGCGTTAACACCTTTTTTTTGTTTGAAAATATCACTCAGACAAGACGGTTGGCGCTGAAGCCTGGGTTTCTTGTTACTGTTGTAACAAAGCCACCGTTAATAAGGTACATTCTCTAACTCCTCTTACATGAAAGCCGTTTCTGCAAAAGCAGTTTGTGGCAGTTTGAAGTATGATCAGTCTTTATAATCCAATAGCTCAAGTGATGAAAGACGCAGTTGCAAAACATACCCAGCCTCATCAAGAAATTAATCTTCTTCAAACCAGGATATTGTTACCCTGGTAACGGAGCATTCCGAATAATGGGAATAAGGAACATTTAATCTACTGCAAAACATATAACTTCTGTAAGGGAGGAGAAGGACGTTTTCTGGCAATGGCCCTATCTGAAACACTGGAAATGTGTAGGAACCAAATCCTGTGATGGAGGGATCAAAACACTTCTTACCATGTGAAAACAGGTTTCAGGAATAAACTTGCGGACTAGAGGAACCCCAAAGCAATGACAAGGTGAAAGAAAACCTGTCAAAATCCCCAAACCTGGTCCCATGAGTTGCTCTCCCTAAGTGGTGGGAATGTCATGTGGGAGCCTTTGGTGACTAGCACGTAGAGGGTTTCTTTCAAAGAGACTTTATGTTTCAGATGGCTTAGTTTTACAAGACAAGGCATTTTGGAGTTGGGTTAACCTAAAACTTCAAATATGGCTCTTGGGCTAAAGATGAGAGGTCAGTTCCACCAGTCACTGAAATTCAGGATTGATCAGATTTCAGGGGCACTAAATCCTTCTCCAGCCACAATAAGCTTAAGTTCTGTCACAATAAAATCTCATTTTCCTTACCATGACACTCTGCTATTCACTTCACTTTCAAGAAGTCTGAAAAAACTACTTTTATACTTTCTGTTAACAATGCATTGTTTGTAGGGTACCGAGATATTGTGAGATTGAGCACCCAGATCCTTATGTGGCCACTGGTCTGCAATTGCACCAGGACAAGCATCTGTTAAATCAATGGTTAAATATTAAAAAAAAAAAAAAGTCCTTATGGCCCCTACCTTCTGGGGGTGGCTGGATATACCGGCATTTCTGTGCTTCTAAGAGCTCGTTATAACCATAGTCAGTGATCTTCAGCACAAACCGACCGTCCACCACGCAGTTACGAGACTTGAGACGTCCATGAGCAAAATCTCGGTGATGCAAATACCTAATTCCCTGCGCAATACAGAAAAGTTTGAGAGTTATAATACCCATCAGAGCATTAAGCCAAATTACCACCTTAGGTGCCATCAGGTACAATGTTGACTCGGTCAAATGCAGTCCTGATCAACCCAGGAAAGTATGGGAGAAGTTCAGAAATGGATTGGGAGCAAGAATTAGCTTGGCTGCACCCTGAAGTAATACTGGAAAGGTTTAGCAGCTTTAGGAACAGTCAGATGTCTCCCTCTCTAGCCCTGGGACTCACTGCACTCAGAAGCTGCATGTTTAGAGAAGGTTGTGAAGGTGAACACAAGTGGTACCGAATGGTTACGTCAAGGGAAGGAAGCTGTTGAGAGTTGGATGCTCTCACCCAGAGGATCAGAAGGTGGATCATGTGCTGTAAGAATGGTTCTGGCAGTCTGTGGTCTCTAGGTCACCTGTCCTAGATTGGTAGTTCATGATCAGAGGATGAAAATACATGGGACATGATTGGAAGAGTGTAAACACTTTCCCAAAGTGACCGTACATGTAGCCATTCTGTTCTAGGGCTTTGGTCCTAAGCTGGATGCCTTTCTGATTTATGATAAGAAAAGACCTTTGGAAAATACAAATTTTTCACCAAATCCATTGTTCTAGGTGATAAGGTCTAGCCTGATGTGTATTTTTAACCTCTGGATGTAGTCCTGTTACCCTAAGTAGTGCTCCTCTCAGTAAAAAAAACCCAAGAAGTTGTCTCCATTAATGACTGGGTATACTGGTATAATTACATTCTCATTTGTTTTCCCAGCATTACTATAAAAATCCCAAAGTCCCTGATGACATGGCTATGTGGATATAAAAGTCACAAGCAGGTCACTCCTCAGCAGGAGCAATGGATTTACTTTAATTAGATCCATCACGAGAGAGGACTTGAACATCCAATCCAGTTTCATATCTTCATTTCTCAGCAAGTCCTCCAGGCTTCCTCGGGAGCAGTACTCTGTCACTATGGCAAAGATGCCACAGTCAGAGAAAAAGCCCAGGAACAGATTCACATTTTCGTGACGCAGATCTTTCATCTGAAATGAGACAGTGAATCACAGAGAGACCAAGTCAGCCAGACATCTGCTTGGCAGCTTCTTTATATCACTAGATGACCTTATATTCTTCCACTCTTGGTCTTTCACACATGGATGGGGAAGCAAACCCTCTTTGATGCTTACTGGCCCAGGTGGCCAAGAAGGCCAACGGCATCCTGGCTCATATATTTTGTGACCAGGAGAAGAAGGGAGATGATTGTCCCTCTGTACTTGAGTGTTGTGTTCAGTTTTGGGCACCTCAGTACAGGAGAGATCTCGAGGTGTTGGAGCGAGTGCAGAGGAGGGCAACAAAGCTGGGGAAGGGCTGGAGAACAGACCTTGTGAGGAGCGATTGAGGGAGCTGGGTCTGTTCAGTTTGACCAAGAGGAGGCTGAGGGGGGATCTCCTCATGCTCTGCAATTACTTGAAAGGACATTGTAGAGAGGTTGGTGCTGGTCTCTTCTCACAAGTAATTAGGGACAGAACCAGGGGGAATGGTTGCAAGTTGCAACAGGGCAAGTTTAGGCTGGACATTAGGAAGAAATTCTTCATGGAAAGAGC